TTACTCAGTCTTTTCTACCCCTATTTCATATATTTAAAATTTAAATTCGGTTGATTAGTTTTGAAGTTATGGATTTTTTAGTAAATTGTGCACATACATACATACATACAGACATTTTTTTTGGGGCAATATTTTGACGTTTTACAACAATCTGAAGATATTAACGTCAAAAACTATAAAACCAATCTTTTCTTTAGTTTTTTCTACCCCTATTTCATATATAATTAATTTAAATTTGGTTGATTAAACCCAAGATTATACGCAATCAAAAGTTAATATACGAATTTACGAAAACAAAGCTTCCTCTATGAGGAAGCAAAAGTATAGTATACGCAGATTAAACGACGATATGAAGAACAGATTACAAAATTTGTTGATAATTAATTTTAGAAGCACATACAGACTCGGAGAAAATATTTTTTCTTCACGCGATCTTTATTCGATACAAGTAAATGAATTTTATCGTGAAATACGATAGATTGTTTCCTATAAAATTAGTATTTTTTGAGAGATAAGAAAAGGTTTTAAGAAAAATATGAGTTTTTGCTTATAATGTTTATATAATAAAATTCTGAGATCAGAAAATTTCTTCTGCATATTATATTTTTAATTTTGATAAAATTGCATATAAGATGCAATTTAAGTATGCAATATAAGCTGCATGTAAGTAGTATTATTCTTACATTAATTTAAAAATAAATCTCCAATTCAATTTGAAGCGATTGAGGTATATATTTGACATAAGAGAGACTCAATGAAGAAGTAAAAATAAAAATATTATAGCAAATTTAACATATCTGAATTTTCTAGCTAACTTTCTTAGCTTTTACATAATAATAATAAATTAAATTATTATTAAAAATTTTATGTAAACTTACATTAATTCGTCAAGAATTTTGAGCGTCGCAATGCGCAAATTTACTTGTTGCACCATGTTAAACGCAGAGATGTCCGAGTGTTTAATCTCGGAGATGTTATCCAGGCTAGCAGCGACAGCTCGTATATGTATATGAAATTTCAAAGTTACCATAATATTACAATTTCCAACAACCTTACTTCAGAGAAGGAAGCTCATTTCCGTTCCCTAGAGGCGTATAGCTTCATCGTTATCCTAATGAAGAGATACAAGCTACATCTATATTAAGTATGCAATAGTATGCGAATTATATAACGTCTTTATAAATTATTAGCCATACATGTCTTTTACAGCAGTTACGTTAACGTCACTGTTTAACATCAAAACAATAGGAAAGTTTGTTACGAACAGCTTTATCGATCCTGGTTTTAGGAACTCGGAAATAGTTCATGACAGCAGAACCGCCATAGTCTCGGCATGCATAATTTTGGATGTTTTTATATGAACAATCTATATATTCGCGTACTATATCTAATTTAAAGTTGTAAATGTAAAAGCAAATCAGCTAAGTGCCTCGTGGTAATTTATTGACAAGTGTAATTATTATTATCTATAAGTATGTATGATATGTTTCGCATTAATCAAAGAATGTTAATTTTTGACAGCATTTTTTAATAGAGGAAATATAATATTTCATGAGAGGCAATATGATTTAAGTTTTAAGCTAATTATCTACTTAATAACATCATAAATATAAGAAAAGTAAATCTTCAATCTTCTCAGAGAGTAGCAAGAAGTAATATATTGCATAAAATTAATTTACCGAGGTCCGTTACGTATAATAAACTAGCGCAGAAGGTGTAACGTCCGTCACATCGCGGGCAATGTCGCAAAATCTCGTGAAAATGTCGGCTCCGAAGAGTAACATCAAAGTTCCCGCTTCTTATCCGATGCATTACACGACAGAAACTGAAAAGTTGCGGGCATTACGGGCTTGAACTTCTCACTTTTAATGCGAAACTACATTTTTCTCAGCGGCAACAGTAGTAGCCGGCTGCGCACTGCCTCGAAATTGTGAGCATCTTTTACGCCGCCGCGTGCCACTGCGAAGAGAGTGGCAATAAATGTCAGTGCGGGGCGTTTTATGGTGGTGGCCCTCCACTATGGTACTTTTCTAGGCATCGTCGCCAAGCTGGCCCACGAATACGTATTCGATTTTATCACCGCCAATTCCGGCATATGCTTCCATTGGGACTTCGCGTCCTGTCGCATCGCGAAACATATTTGCCCTCCCTCTATTTTACTGCCCGTGTGGCTTCGTCTTTATGCTCTCTTTCGCTTGACAAATATTTTCACTTGAAACAAAAGGGGTGCAAACTTTGGTAAGATTAATATATGTTTGTATAGTGGCTAAATATAATTGTAGATGTATTTTCAGATGTTATATGAAAATACATAGAGCTAATATGACATATCTTATTACGTTATATTATGAGAAAACAGAGTTTTGATTGACGTAGTGATTACCTTTTTTATCTAGACAAACTTTTTTTTGGAGGGAAGTTTAATTACATAAAAATGTTATTAAAGCGCACAAACATATAGTGTTGCACGCATTCCTGAAACTCGGGAACATGATACGAAAGAAAGGATGGGATAGCGTACAATACCGAATTTTATTCACGTGTGGGCATTGGAATTCGATATTTTCGTGCGTCACACACATGTCAACGCGTCGACGAAAATGCCGTAATCGACACTGTAAACAATGCAAAAAGTTCGCTGAATATACCGTTATAGAAACTTATATCTACATCCATATCATATTTTCAGATTTTACTCCTCTTTTCCATGTATTTTTTCCTGACAACGCCTTGTTTTTGAAAATACATTGTTATCGATCAATTATTGATCATTATTTTATGACGTATTGAATACGCCAAGAACGAAAATAAAATAATTGGAAAAGAAAAATAATTGCAAACATTTTAATTTATTTGCGAAAAATATTTGTGAGAATTTGTTACGAGCGTAATTTAAATATACGTGTATCCTTTTCTAAATTTTAATAAAATTTCTTAACAGATTTGTATTATCTTCTAGTACCTTTATTGATAAATTTATACTGTTTAAATATCTCATATTTTAAAATTTAATCTCCAATATTTCGCTACAACAATAAAAATGAAAAAAAAAAAGAACATTTGTTCTGCACCGGCCGCCACGCTAAATGGAGCACGGCGTCTGTAAAGTGATGTCGGCAAACTTTTAATCGGCAATTTGAAGTAACGCTTCGATGGAATCGGCCACATTCATTCGGCCGCAAATAAACTGCATTGAAACAATTGTTTGAAACAATTATTACTCGCTACCGCCAATTTAAGTAATTTACTATCGGGGGATCGATACACGCATGGTTAATGTATACTTGTTTCAAAACGTGTTTAATTCATATTGCAATCAAACCTATATGAATTTTGCGTGTTAAACTAAAATTTGTATATGTTTTTCAAACATTCAGGAAGAGAAACAATATCAATCGATGTTTAATATCCTGCAAACAGTGTGTAAAACTTCTACATCAGACAATTCAATTATAATTTGAGAAAGGTTACATACGCACGGCCTGTATAAATCTTTACGATCGATTTTTATAATAGAGAAAAATTTATTATACGGCTCTTTAAATTCTGTTCCGTTATATAGTTCAGTTTATATAATTTTAGTTTATATAATTGACATAGTTTGATACAATTCCGTTTTATCGTTGATATTGTCATATTAATAAATGCAATAAAACTGATATGAAAATTATATTATATTTTAAATTGTAAGGATAATTGAGATATATTTTATCAAACTGTTTCTTAATGCAATAGAATTTTCGTGACTGTAATAATTTTAAATTCTTTTACTGCTAGTATTTTCTTAATCTATTATTATTATATTTTCTAATAATATATTATTTTTCTTTTTTTTTAAATTTAGGAATTGCTAATATTTTTTAAGGAAAATGAACATGTTAAAGAATTATTAAACTAGACCTACTTCAAAATATTTAATCCTTTTTGGCTTAAGAAACCACCGAAATCCATTTACCTTTAATATATGATTGTCTTCTGCTTTCTATTTTTACACCCTTTTATACTTTGTTTATCTTAATAATATTGCGCCCTTAGTGTATCAGCATTAATCACGACTTGGACTATTCTGCACAAAAGAATTTAATGTTACTCTCAGAGTAAATCTTGTTAGTTGTATATGTCAGATGCATGAAAAGGCTTCATTCTGAGAGGCGATTTTCTCAAAAGGCAGCTAACAATGGCTGTCAGTTCTTGCTTCAACGACATCTGACCCGAATGGCACAGCTGCGGTGAATTTAATTGCACCTTGCTTACACTGGGATAAAGAATGACTCAAGATCGTTTAAAGAACGATCCAAAATTCTTGAAGCGAAAAATCAGGACGCTTAAATGGAAAACTTTTCAAAGTGTTTCATTTCTTTAAGAAGGGGATTGAAGTTTTATTGAATACATTATATTTTATTTTTTATATAAAAGTTTACAACTTAAAATGAATTTTGTCTATTATGCGAATAATGTAATCGAAATTCTCTGATGAGCGAAATGTTGTTTTAAAACAGTTTAAAATATCAGACTTTGTGATGTATATTTCTTCTAATTTATTTTCTTCTAATACTTATTGCTCGCAAAAATGATATAACGCGATTTATGCGGTTTCTTAATTTTCTCTTTAACTTTTACGTCTTTATTTTGTTACAAGCATAGATTCTATGTTGTAAAAATTTTTATTTACAATATATATACAATTTTATAAATTAATATTTTAATTCTGTTTTGTTCAGACATTTTTCATGAATATCTTTTACGAACAAATTATATTTTTTTACTTATCTTTTGTAATTCTTAGAAGAAATTATACATTTTTTTAACGTGTTGCAATAAATTATATGCACTGAAGTTGTGTATGCGATAATGTAAAAAATCTCTCTTAAGACTTAAGGAATCTTTTACTATTTATTATATTCCCTTCCGAGAAGTTGTACGTGCGAATATAAAATACACACCATTTTCCATATCAGATACAGATATTGCCGTTCACGAGCTCTCGTTTTACGTTTCAGAATGGATTTTCAATCGGCGCAGAAGAATGAAAGCCTTTTTCAGTGTTGCAGCGGATTTTGCATCGATCTGCTGCAGAAATTTTCCGAGGAAATTGGTTTCACTTACGAGCTCGTAAGAGTGGAGGACGGCAAGTGGGGTACTTTGGAGGTAAGCTCGAGCAAAATTCATGAAAGGTGCTGCTTACTTACGTCGCAGACGGAAGATAAATGTGTCTTGTAATGCAACGAGAAAATTCCCGCGTAGCATTTACCGCATCCGCAAACGGTGCGCTCGTTTCTTCTTTTGGAACGGTTAAAATTTCTGTCCTTTCATGTCTACGGCAGGCGACTAACACCAAGCAAGAAAAACGTAATGCGGCTTGGGCATGACTGATTGCTTTGTATATCTCTATCTTTACATATCTGATAAATTTGTCGAATATAAAAAAAAATAGAGAAAGGAATTGCGCTTCACATTATTGGAACCCTATAGATTTAGTACTGTGTAATTTGAAAGCCCAATTATCTGACGATAATAATTCTCTGCAAGCACGTGTATTGACCCAGCCATTGATGACTATTATTACGAAATGTACGCATGAATGAGCTTCCGACGCGTTTAATTTCCGCTGCACAAAAGTTGCTTCCATCGATGCAACGATATTTACGCTTCAGCGACAGCTTGAATGGCCTAAAAACAAATAATTTTCCATTTATCGTGCGTCCTAATCACGTTATCACATTATCATCATTTCGTGTTTCTCTCTCGCGAGACTGTATTTAATTACGATCATTGGCACTGAAAATAATAAAAAAAAATACCCGTTTAAATCTTGCATAGCATGCAAAATTCTCAGTGTTTTATTCCGTTTTATAGAATAATATATTTTTATATTTAAATCTACAAATATTAAATAAAATTAACTTATGTTTATTTATTTATGTTCTGTTTCTTTTTCGATAAAAACAATTTCGGCAATCGACTTTCTCGCAAATTTAACAAACGTCACGATTTATCAATTATTATACGCAGAATGGGAAGTGGAACGGACTTATAGCCGATTTGGTCAACCGGAAGACTGACATGGTGATGACTTCGTTGATGATCAACTCGGAAAGAGAAGCGGTGGTCGATTTCACTGTACCTTATATGGAAACTGGTATCGCTATTATTGTAGCGAAAAGAACAGGCATAATATCGCCCACTGCATTTTTAGGTGAGAATTGTAGGTACAGAAACTGCTCCACAAACGATACTTATAATAACATGTTTGCAAATCGGCAATATATAAAAATACATGCTATCTTTATTATGAATAAACAATGTTACATAAATTGAGTAAAATATTTGCGGAGGCAAATAGTATATTATTTCGAAACATTAATATTGCTACATAAATTAAGGGAATATTTATACAAAAGCAGTAATTTCGTACGAATCGTTACCGCGGACGAAAATACGCGGCGAATGTCGCGGTAATGCTGAAACGAAATTCAGTTTAGCATCTAACAATGCAATTTTCAGAACCATTCGACACGGCTTCGTGGATGCTAGTGGGCATTGTTGCCATACACGCTGCGACGGTAATGATACTACTCTTTGAATGGGCATCACCCTCTGGTTTCGACATGAAGGTAAACCCTTCAGGCGCTGCGCAAAAACTGGTATTTTTTATTTCGCTTTTTATTAACTATATGTATATATGTTTCTACCTCGTTCGCACTTTTACCTCTCAATGCACAAATGTCACAATTAGAATAGTAACTAATTAATTCCAATGCATCCTTCGGTGTTTGTCAGTAGAAAAATAGAAAGCATATGTTTCTAGAAATCTAGAATAATGTTATACCGACTTCTAATTTGCAGTTGTTTCATACAATTTTATATAATTAACAAAAATTTTTTTCAGGAATCTATTCATTTATGTGTATTTTTTATCATTACATAGACAGTGTGTGATATTTCCTATAGAATTATATAATACGTGATTTTTTTTTCAACGTGTTAATGTATGATTATTTGTTTTGCATGTATGTTGCACAATTTCATAAAAGTCACTATGTTCTTACATAAACTAATGACATTGTCTAAACATGTGTTCTAATATAAAAGATGTTCTAATAATCATAATCGTCAAATTAAATTTTTAATTGGAAAAAGCGAGATAACGATATGCTAATTTTCTTATAACGTGCATATGAACAGTTTGAAGTTTTGTTCGTGTTAATGTTATTATTACACGTTAAATTTTGTAAATGTTAATGCGTTATCGATTTTTCCCCTTCTGCAGAAGAATCCATCGACAAACCATCGATTTTCGTTCTGTCGCACGTACTGGCTGGTTTGGGCCGTATTATTTCAGGCTGCCGTCCATATCGACTCTCCCAGAGGATTTACAGCCAGGTCAGTGAAAAGGATCCCTTTCCCCAGGAACGTCGTTCTCCCGACGAATTTTAATTACCGACGCGAGATAGAACTCGAGCGACAAATTAGTCTTCCGCCTCTTCGCTTAACCATTCGAGATCGGTCGCTGCGCATAAATGTTCCCGGGCAAACATTTGCTTGCGACAACCGTTCTAAAATGTAAATTACTACGACTACTTATGAATCGTCAATCATATTGACTCGAATCCAAAATAATTCGATGTAAATTATGCAGTATGCTGATGCAGCATCGAATTTTGTGAGTCAAATTAATTTAATTAATTAAATTTGATTTGAGTAAAATAATATTTTGAGGCAAATATATCATAGTTATAAGGTTAAAAGGAGATTAAAGATAGAAGTTTGTTAAAATTAAATATATGCTTCGGAAACAAATTGCAAACATTAATTTTGAATATTTATTTCACTGTTGAAACTGATAACATGCATATAATGTAACTGGAGAATTCCTACATAAAGACGTTAATTAAATTAATATTAAAACATTAATTAACAAACAATTATCTTGTCGACTATGCAATGCGTTTATTAATTCTCATAAACATTGCAAAATATCTAGATTTAAACATAATTTGTAAAAATTGTTAATGCTAAATGTCAATATACTATCTACATAGATTTATGACAAACGTCTGGGCATTATTTGCCGTGGTCTTCCTCGCCATTTACACTGCCAATCTGGCTGCCTTCATGATCACGCGGGAAGAATTTCACGAGTTCAGCGGTGTGGACGATCATAGGCTCGCTAAGCCCTTTTCCCACAAACCCATGTTTAAATTCGGCACGGTACCGTGGAGTCACACAGACAGTACGCTGGCAAAGTACTTCAAGGAGATGCACTCTTACATGAGGGCTTTCAACAAAAGCAGTGTTGCAGATGGGGTCGAAGCTGTCATCAGTGGGTAAGCAATCTTGTGATATAACTTTATTTGTCAACATTTATGTTATACAATTAAAAATTGTATCTGAGAAACAGAAAGAAAAATCGAAGCAAAAAATGAAACAATTATTTAAAAATAACACAGTAGCATAGCAAATTTATATTTTGATAAAAAATTTCTTTTTTATGTAAACGATTTATGTGCAGATATTTATTTTAAAAAATACATTTTTGGGCTTGCATGTTTTTATTTAGCGCACATATTTTGTTTAAAAATTGAAGAAAATTTTAATAACTGAAATAAAACATTTTATTTGATTCATTTATACGTTTGTGTTACATGTAAACGCATTTCAACGTAGTATTTTGCATAAACAAATACATCGGATTGAAATTGATTAAAGGAATAGAAATTTAATCATCTCTAAAGTTCTAAAGTGGGGGATCCTTTACATCTAATTCTATAACATTATGTATATAAATTTAAAAAAGTCCCTTGACATTGGCTTTGTTGTAATGCCGATTTAAAATATTCTTACGGAGATATACTGAGGTATAGAATATTCTGTTATAACTTCTGTATATAGAGATCTGGATGCGTTCATTTACGACGGCACGGTCTTGGACTATTCGGTCGCCCAGAACGAGGACTGTCGACTGCTAACAGTCGGGTCATGGTACGCCATGACGGGATATGGTCTGGCGTTCTCCAGGAACTCAAAATACTTACAAATGTTCAACAAACGGCTGTTGGACTATAGGGATAACGGTACTTTTATGCTCCAAATCTTTTTAAGCGTAAAATATTTTTACATCTAAAAGTTCTTCCTCTGTGTGTGTGTGTAAAATATATGGATGTATGTAAATTGTACTCGACGGATCGATTTCTACGTCATTCTATCAATTCTAGGAGATCTAGAGCGATTGAGAAGATACTGGATGACCGGGACGTGTAAGCCCGGGAGAGAAGTACAAAAGAGTAGTGATCCGCTCGCTTTGGAGCAATTCTTAAGCGCATTTCTCTTACTGATGATGGGAATTCTTTTGGCGGCATTCCTTTTACTTCTGGAACATTTATATTTTAAATACATCAGACAGCACCTGGCGAAGAGCGACGACGGTGGCACATGTGCTATTTTTAGCCTAGTAAGCATCGCGGATTTTAATATCGCAAGAATCTCGTTATTTCCTGTGCTATTTCTGGAACTAGGTCATTCTTAGCTTCAAAACTACCTTCAGCTAGTGACAAATGTTTAAATGTTAATAATATTTTTTCAAAAATATGTAACCAATAATCTAAATTGACTGTTTTTAATAATGATAGAAATTGTATAGCTTTTGAGCAAAAGAATTTAATTAATAACAATCTACTAGAATTTAATAACAATTAAATACAAAATAAATGTTTGAAACGTATTGACAATAATTGATAAAAGAACAAAATTCCACATGTAACAACATTTTAAAAGAAATATTCCAGAAATATTCCTAAAATTCTTTACAAATATATTTGCAAATTTATATACATATATATCTTTATCTTATTCGATAATATTGATTTTCATATACTCCGGAAGATTAGTATTGGAATGAAAACTTGAAGAGGACAATAATATGCAAAATGTCTTATTTAAAGAGCGTAGGAAAGTCCCTGACCTTCCGCGGTGCAGTGTACGAGGCGCAGGATATCTTGAGGCATCACAGATGCAAGGATCCAATCTGCGACACCCACTTGTGGAAGGTCAAGCACGAGCTCGACATGGCCAAGATCAGGATACGGCAGCTTGAGAAGGATCTCGAGGCCCACGGAATAAAGCCCACCCAGACCAAGTACGCTCCGCCCTTCTCCTAATACCGTTTAATTCCGTATTAAGCTACGAAAGTACTCGACTGCACCGGGTATTTGCAATGCGATCGAGCGAAGAGCTGAATTGATCAAGTTTGAATCGCACGGTTTGCGAAGACAGAGGCTTGCCCTTCCCAATGATCAGTCATGCTATTCGATTATCTTTGAACTCGGTCGCTTAATATCCGATGAAGCGTCATTCCCTCGTGAGCAATTCGTTCATAACAGTTTTCCGTTCGACTGATTTTATTTCTTTCTCTACTAAAATAGGAAGAGTTCGCAAAGAGTTTTGAGAATAAATCGCTTTGATATTTGCGTCAGAAGTCTGCATGACAAATGAGGGGTATTGTCTGATATGATTAATCTTTTAATGCCGGAATTTTCTTTGAATTGAAACGTCACGGTTATATATGATGAAAAAAAAATGAAAATTTAATATTACGAGTTATTGATAGTGCAATTTCTTGATACTGAACGATAAAAAAATATAGTGTTTTTTTTTAGCATAAAAATAAAAGTGAATCAATATTGCTTAATATCTAGCCGCAATAACTTTCTATCCAATTTCAGCGCAAATATGCACAGGAAAAATTAAATTTTTTAAACGCGATGGGTTTTTTAGTGTATATTTAAAGATATTATAAATACTGTTATACATCTCAAATAAGAATATAATGCTCATAAAAACAATTTAAAGGTGTTAAAGAAATAAGAATTATTTGTGAGAGGTATTTTTTTCCTTGACAATTATATCAAAACATTTTACTCAGCAATAATTAATACGACATTGAAAGATTAATTTACACAATTTAATCGAGTGATAAAATATTTCCGCTGCAGAAAACGAGACGTTCAAACCGCCGATTAAAATTACGCATTGATTTTTCTCTAGATTACGATTTATGCTTTTACGAACGATACTTTTCGCAGAGTGCTGTCGCTTGTTTTCTATCCCCGAAATGGGAAACCTTTGTTCTAGAAAGCTTTCTTTTGAATCTCTTCATCTTTCCACACTCTTCGCTTTCCACTCTCTTCCGGAAATTACTTCGCAAAGCGGAAGTGGACCCGTGATAAAAGTCGACGCATGCAGTTGCACAGTTACATATTCTACCTCTGTCTTTGTTCTAATATCTTGAACAAACTTATGCTCGGTTCTCCATGCAAATTTCTGCGTTAAAGTTTAATTACTGCGGAAATCGTTGTTATACAAGTAACAACGTTGAAGCCCGTATATCCCTTAAGACGAATTTTGCGGGCCGAGCTTAAGTATAGTAACCTATTTTCTAACGTCACTTGGAATCTTGTTTGCACAGCATGCATCTATTTATAATAGGGCGAAACGTGCGTTTTCGGTGAGACGTCAAATCACGTCGACGTTTTTTAATATCGCGCTTAAAGATTTTATCACGTTTTCTTCTTTTCTTCGCGTTCTCTATTGCTGACAGGATCTTTTTTCGATTGCTGCTTTACATTAAAATTGCATAAATTAAATGCAATATTAAATAGCATTTATTATTAATGGACATGTTAATATAGTTCCTTTTTTCTTTGGCACTTGAAGAAATTGTAATTTAAACATATTTCTTGGAAAATAAATTCTTAAATAGTTATATTATCGGTGAAATATTTTAATAAAGTGTATTTATATGTATATATAAACATTTTATATTTACTTCAAACATTGCGAAATTAAATTTGCATTTTTTGAAAAAAAAAATATAATAACGGGGAATTTATTTAGATATATTTAATTGAAAACGCTCGCTTTGCCACTTCTATTTAGTTTCGGTAACATGTATATTGTGTAAACATTTATGCTTACATACGTTAATATCCTATCGATTATTAGCACGCGCACTTGATTTCTTCTCGATTGTCCGTCTGCGGTATCACGCGCTCACTACGTAGATAATTGGAAAACCTATTCTTGTTTCGTTGAGAAGCGAATCCATCGTCATGTTTGACAATAAAAGAAAAAAAAACTTTCCATGAGAGTGGAGTCATGGGGTGTCCCGGGGGTATCGTTTCGAACGGGAAATGGTTTATTTGGGTCATGTTAAGCGATAATTGGTGGTTCGACGACGTGAGAAGGAAGCCTGGCACATATCCACGTCGGCTTTTTTAAAGGAGGAAATCTGGAAATCTTGGCTGGTGGCGAGGGTGCCTCCAAAGTTCGGACCGCCATACACCACCGGAGCCCATGGCGATGGAAGCTCCGCATCCGCTACCGCCATACTTCGATTCGTAAGTCCGCAATGCCAAACTACACACAAGAACGTTCAGTGACGCAGGAACTAAAATATTCTTTTCGTTGAAGCTTCAATAAAAATCTCTCTGTTGTAATAATTTAATTTGGCATAATTGCTTGGAAAAGAAAGTCCTGTTAGCGATGCTACTCTGATTTCATGTCTTTGCCATCTTATAACACAACGACATTTAAACACAACCCATACGAAACATTCAATATACTCTGTTCAATAGTTACCATCAATTGCCTATCTTTTTAAAATTAATTGAAAACTATTCTGCAGCGCGGGACATAATCGTGACGCTAATGAAGTGCTCTATAGAGAGCTATGACAAATTCCTCTCGCAAAGCCCTTTTCTCCCTGAACGTCAAACCATTGAAATCCTTTTTACATAATTACACTCCCACGACACAATTGGCACTCACACATTGGAATTTAGCAAACGTTCCTACGTCACTGCAATCGGTCTCACATGGTGTAGCAAAAGATCGTTCCACCGATCGATAAAAATTTTGCCACGACTCGCGCGATCCCGCGAGGCTCCGTTGTTTCGTAAACTCGCGCGACCTCCGTTCCCCTTGACATCACTTTATCTATAATAATGAAGAAAAGAGAATGTGTGCAGCGAAAGAGGAGACACAAAGAGACGCCGAGCGTCACGCGGATCGACGACAGCGGGCGCCTCGCTTACAATTAGAGAGACCAATCGGTAGAATAACAGGGATGTAGAGATTGGGTATTAGTCCGCTTTTCGCTTCTCTGTAGATTGGTAGATCGTCTTTTGCATAAGTTACGCATCAAGTATCTCTCGCTCATTACACTTTCGTGTAGTACTTATTATCACAGACTTGTTCTTTTCTTTTTTTTTTACTTTGATGTGCTCGAGAGCATGGCATGCAAGTTTCTAGAAGGAAAATAGTTAGATAACTTGGGCGTGTCGGTGCCAACAGTGTGCGCATTATAGGTAATTACCTGTGGTGGTTTGTGGCGGTTAATCGATTAATTACCTATAATGTCCGACGGCGACGACGAGACAATGACGCGGGATGAAAATTAAATCGGGGTGTGGGAATGTTGAGAAAGTGCCGTGACCGGGGCGAAGACGAGGAAGACGGAGAGCATGATAAAGTTTACTTTATACGTGTAGGAGGCAACTTTCGCGGTGTTACGATGGCGATGACATAATTCCCGATCGTTTATATTCAGGTACATCGATGCCGTCGAGGTTGCCCGTCCGAGGGATATGAGTAGAAACCATGTGGTCAGTACAGAATACGCCGAGACGTTCTTGCCCACGGAGATTTACAGGTAAAGACCAGGATTTATGCGGCGTTGTGGATTGGAAAGACAGATTACTAAAATGCGATATTACTCATCATAAAATGTACTATTAAAAATTTTACGAAATAAATTTTATATGTACAAAAATATTTATAAATAAAATGGACTATTAAAAATTTTACAAAATAAATTTTACAGAAATATTAAAAGTTTTACAAAATGAAATGAAATCCTTTATTTTTTAACTGTACCTTCCAATTGTTATAAATTTATCATATATGCATTGAAAGCGTATGATTTACCATTAATTTTATTTTAATAAATAATGCATTACATAGTGACACAAAATTTATCAAATTTCACGTATTTTTGTATTTAAATGTATGTAATTGTAATTGTTGGACATATTCGATTTTTATTTATTTCCTGGTAACAAAGTGACCTGTATTTATATGTAAGTAGTATATTATATTAATGTAGCAAATTCTAAGCACAATGATTTTCGTTCTTTATACAAATTTCGCATCAGAGCTGTTATTTTCTTGAAGTTTTTTCTTGCCAATATTGCATTGCTCAATTACTTATTTATGCCATTTGGAAATGCCTCGAATTTTATGAAAATAAGCGGTTGTTTGTCACAGGATTCCGGATGATGATGCGACCAGGACGGAAATCGCCGAAATGGAGACAGTTCTGTGATCGTAAGAGGATCGGCTTCAGTCGCCCAATCGCGCCACGATGGAAGCGTATGGGACCGACTGAGGGGCCCTTTGAAGACTCCAGAAACGATGCGATTTAAACCAAAATCGTGTCCTGTTGCTCCTGCCTCGAACAACGAGCCCCACCCACATCAATTTTTCGTTCGGACGAAGACGCTGATCCGCTGATATCGATCCTCAGAAACTGTCGTCGCGCGCGCGGTGAAACAACGAGAGGAGGAACGTCGTCAGTGCCTATCAATGATCGAGAATCAACTATAGTGACCAAGAAGACATCGCTCGGGGATATTTTGTGACTCGAGGAAGTGCATTTGTTGTTGACACTTGCGTTACGCTCCTGAGAAATGCATCCTTTGTGTCCTTTGAAATATATCAGAAGGACTTGCGTGGCAGTTGCATTCACACAACAATAGTGATCGTTGCGAGGAAATGCCTCAGAAAATTACTGAATCTTCGGTGATGGTCGGACGAGCACTCGATAATTGAGCCGGATTTCGATCTGCGAGGGATTTATTTTTAACAACACGATCGACAAGACATGTCATCGAAGCTAACTGCTTCGCGCTCACGTAGTTGTGTGCATATGCAAAGATTCGTTTCAAAATTTCAAACCTGTGCCTAAAATCGTCTGGGCACGGCTCGTGATGCACTAGATGATCTATTAGGCGTTCTGAAATATGGTTAGTAATTTGATAAGAACAAAATAAAACTTGCAATTTTTTTAGAATACTTTGAGATACGACTATCTCATTGAAACAACTAGTTTCCGTTAAATGTATAATTTCTTTATTAAATACTCATATTTTTATAATTTCAAATTAATCAGTAGTAGAAATTTCTATAAAGATATTTATTAGTGAAAATTTTGCAGAAACAATTAGAACATTACTTTATCCATGATGCATTTTTGTTTATTTTAATCCTAATTTTTTACTAACTATGCATTCCTCTTTGATATTTATCTCAATACTTTATTTACTTGTTTTACTGCAATTTTTTTAGAGTATAATTTGCCTTTTATTAAAAAAAACTTGAATCTATATTTTAATATCGATTTTCAATCTAATTTTTATAATATGTTTTATTTATAATTATTATTTTAATTCATACTATATTATTTATAGAAAAGAACAGTTACATTATTTTTATAAAGACTTATTACATTTTTAAGTATATTGTATTATGTATGTATGTATATCGAAATATGTACAACATATATACATATATTTTTATTTTTTAAGCATGTACCATCAGTACATTTTTTTTATATCTTACTCCTACTTTAACTCGTCTCATTTTTTGCCTTGTCGTCGTCTTTTTATTTTAATATATTTATGTTTTTCATATTAAAATATAATTATTTAGAGGCATCGCCAGTGCAAGAAAGACAATTGGAAAAATTTCAATTACTACTGACAGCTGGAACCAAGGTCACGGAGGAAAAGGCACATATTTATTCAGGCACCAACAATGCAATAGATAGTTATGAAATTCCTAAATCTTTTAAAAAGGACATATTCAACTTTGTACGAACTCGTGCCAGTTTTCAAATAAGTGTCATATGGTAATACGTCGATGCGAACGATACGAAAAGATTCAAAAACTGAGAAACCTAATCGATATCTTGATGGAAAATGTCAATGTGTACCATACGAAATACTTATATGATATCTAAGCCTGTATGTCGAATAAAATTAGTGTTAATGAGTCCGCATAACTATAAAAAATAATATATATATATATATATATATATATATTTAATATGGTTACATACACAATGAAATATTCTAAAAAAATGAACCTATTTGAAAACGTAATATGCTCAAAAACAAGAAGTAACATATATAAATATGAAATAAAAATCGAACCATAATGCGCACGTACCTATCGTGGAGTGTCAGGACAGGTTATTTTTAAATAGGAAAAAGAAAATATCAAGCAAATAAACATAATCAATAACAAAAATAAGATAACAATGATAGTTCAGTGAATCAAAAAGATAACGAACGAACAACAAATAAATGTTTACGTCTGTATTAATAAAACGCGCGATGCCTAAAATTGTGATTTAAGTCGAATCTGCAGAAAAACGATTAATCGATAACAATTTACTATTCTTACATGTTTCGCAGATATTTTGCAAAAGTATACGTAAATTTTATACATTTTTGTAGACCGCGTAAGTCTTTAATATTCTTGAAGAAAGACGGAATGTCGTCGCGATCTTTGACACAACGTTCTGACAATCCGCAATAGATGATGATAACTCGAAATAACGAACGAAACCCTTTGAGCGAATTCGAGTTTCACGTGCGCATCGAATTCGAGACTTAAGATTAAAATTTTAAGACTTATGTCGCTGTATATAACTGCATTTATTCGTATGAACTTTAAAGTGCATTGCAGGCTACAGTATTTTTTATCAAAAATTGAAACATAAAATATTCTATCGCAACTATATGTGCAAGATAAAATAATTAATCATGATAAAGTATTGAAAATATTTTAAGAAATCATTTATTATCATCAATTTACAAGAAAAATTGAAATGATGTATTTTTATTAAATTAAAATTAGATATAATTACGAGACAAATAGAGTTTTATAATAAAACAAATATTCTGATAAATTAAATTTGTAGTTTACTTTTAAATAAAAAATATCACGACTTGATAGAAATCTTAAGATAGTCTTTGTTTTATTGGATTGTATTGGATTTTTATTGGATAATTTTACCATTATTTTTTATTATTTGTAGAAAAATTTACATGTTAATTAAAATATATTGATTTAAAAATAGAAATTTTATACATATAAACATGCATTAATTAAAGCATTTATAAAATTTTCTGATATAAATTTTATTATTACGCATTAATTTTAAAAATATGCACTTAATTTATATTAGGTACAAATCCAAATATATATATTTTTTACAATAAAATTTGTAATGAGTAAGAATATTATTAAGTTTATGTTTATTTTTACTGTTTTTAGGAAATTATGCTTTTCAGACTTGCAATGCACGTTAAGTTATACACGCGGAATGAAATAAAAATTAGGGCATACTTCGTAAGAAGAAATACGAAAGGCCTCGAGATGCTCGCGATCAGTTCCGCGCTTAATCCCATCCATAAAATCATTAACTATCTGTACTAATTATTGTGCGATGTGCGTGCGTGGATGCGAGTTGGGACGCAAATCCTCGACATCCGCGGAGTATTTTAAGAAATACATTGCTGTCAGAAGAAAACATGTTGTTATTGTTGTTGTTAAAGATAAAGGGAAATGTTACGTTGTTAAGTCAAATGCGAGATAATTATCCTCAGAGAGTATTGGCATGGCGTATTCGAATGTATTATGATAATAATGGAGCCGGCAGGGTCACTCGAGTTTCTATGTGCTCGGACATTCGCGCAATTGATGATCTTACACGTTTCGATATATTTGTATGTCCATTAAACGTGTAAGAAAAATATATGTAATTTAAACTTTTAAGGAAAATTTTTTATTTCTTATAAAATCTCTATATGTAAATATTAAATTTGTTTTATTGTGTGTGTGAATTATTCTATTTAAAATAATATTTTTTTTATTATTTTAACTATCTAATTTTGTTATAGATTCTCACTTATTATGTAAATATAATTTATAATAACTTTTTTATACTTTATAATAATAGAAATGACTTTATTAAAAATTTCTGAGAGAATTTATACATACACTAAACGGGTATTACAGCACATAAGTACGCGTTGGATGTTCGAGACGTTTAATAAAAATTGCAAACGTAAATAAAAGAAAAAACGTGCGATATTTGAATACTCCAAAGCTGATTATGCCAATACTGCCAGCTCCAAGCTATTACATACATATATGCCATATGATTCTAATTAAACTTCTAAAGTTAAGATCCTTATGTACATGAAATCTTTTTCACACGCGGGGGTCTCATTCCTATGCTGAAAACTCTCGTGCGGGCGTGTGGAATGGATCTAATCCTCTTACTAGGTCTGAGTGGAGTGCAAGGCTTTATAACAAGGATTTTCGATCCTTGTTGATTTCAGAGTGCATTTGTGCGCGATTCGCTCAGGCGAGGAGAACTTTCCACACGTGCGATTCCTCTTCGCTTTACGTCTCAGCTGTTATAAATCTCCCCGCTGCATGCACACGTGCATTCGTAAGCATGCACCTCCCGATTATGTTAATCCATACGAGCGACCGTTCTTCACAAATGCAAAGTGCCCCTGCATGTTGGAAGGTGTGCGCACTCGCAATCTATCGCGGTATCGCTCGAACTTGCGCGATGAGGAAGCTCCTCAAATATGTCGACAATAGTCCTCTTAATCAAGTGGATTATCGTGCACTCTATCATGCGGCACGATTGTTTACGTCGACGCAACGATTAGCGATCCATTAACTTAATTAGCTAATAAGACTAATAGGATGGAATAATTGTACGATTTGATTTATCGATCAATCATCATTAAACGCTAATGGAACATGCGGGAATTGATGTGTACGCGAAAATTAATCCTGCGGATGAAATGTAACACATGTTCCCTGTCGCTTCTTTCAATATCGCTCAGAATGCAGCCTAACTTGAGCGTCTATTGAAACTGCAGTGTAAACGCTGCGGACGATGCGACTTAATTAATTAATTTTATATGTGAATATATATATGCCGTGGGCCTTTATATCGAATGTGATGTTAAAGCAGTCACTATTGATCGTGGAGCGACGTTCTCCAGACACTGCCTAACTTTGAGCTGGTTTTTACCTACGGCGAGGTGACTGACGCAGCGATGCAGCGTGTGAATTGCAAAAGAAATTGAAATCGACTACGGGATAATATGAATCAATTTGCATTTGTCAAATGTTTCTTTTGTACTCCATCTCGTAGGTTTTATAAACGAAAATAAGTGTAGCAAATTACACCTCTGCGCGAAAGTTTGTTTCCTGCGAGTTGCAATCTATGCGAATAAAAGAATCAACGAGAGTGCTATAAGCGAAAATTAGATTGCATTAGCGAAAGTAACTTTGCGCTACAACATAGATAAAGATCGCGTGATTTAATATCCAAATTAATTTGCCTATAAGCTTTAATTTAGTTTCTTATTACTTGTGAACTATACGTTATTCTTGTATGGATTTTATACGAAAAAAATTCAAAAAATATTCTTTACCATAGTGCAATGTTATCGCTACTGCAATTTCAGCTCACGTTACGATGTTATTACACTTAAACTTGAGCTTTGAGAGCCAAACGCGGTTAGTTGTGTGAAGTTTCCGGAAACTCCGATGTCTTTCCCAAAACTGCAGTTTGTCAATCTCACGTTCCTTGAACTTGGATTAGTGAGTGAATTTCACTTCTCTTTGCCAGTTAGTCCTAATTTTAATTTCTAATCCGAATATTTTACAGATTACAAATATTAGCAAAATTTGTCTGGTATTTTCTCTTGAAAATTATACTATCGTACGATTTATAATTTGTATTAAATTATTAATTAAATGTTACATAACGTTAACTCACACGCACAACTAACCACATTTGACTCTTAAAGCCCAGTTTTGCTTGCTATTCATTAATTTCAATATCGAGAACCTTTAGTTAATTAATTATTTACATACAAATTTTCATGTTCGTAAAGTTTCTTTGACGATACGCGTTTTTAATATACATAACTAACGCTAGTCAAGAATTAGTCTTCTAATTCTCTTGCTTATATAAATCAAATTGTTGCGAAACTCAATTGTAATGTAGGTAACAAGAGGACAATGCTTGTAACAACATGAAATCTGTCACAACGATTCGTCAATCAGAGTGGTTGCGAAGCCCCGAAAAAAAATCACTGTGCGCACACACGAAATAGCGGCCTTAATAATTTCCAGTATGGTAGTCGCTGCGAACTCCTCATATTTGTAACTATTAGACATACACTGAATTTTTTCGAACCGAGAGTAGATGACGAATGACTTTCTTTCATGATC